TCCTCAAAGCGATCCACCTCACACAGCCCAAAGAGGTCCGGCTGATACGCCTCAAGCTCCTTCCAAGGATTGAATCTTAAAAAGCAAACTTAAAGTTTAAAAATTTGAAGGCTGGAAGAAACCACCGGCCAAAGATTACCGCAAAGAGACAAGCTAAGCAAATTGAAAGATATTGAAAGGCCCTATCTGGCCTATCTGGCAGCCAGGGGCTGTGGGGTGGGCAGTGTGTGAGGTGAGTTGGGGTCCGCTTCAAGAAACAACATGCGCATGATGCATGGTGCTCTTGACGGCTGCAATTCTCCAGTCCACGCCGACAGCACATAAAAACCATGCCGTTCTTCCTTGCACGAATGCCCCACATGCGCCGCGCACGCAAAAAGTAACCTCAAAGCCTTTGATTGGGCGTGGCTTGCAATCGTTTCAATGCATGACGTCAAGGGCAACTGGGCAAATGGAGTTGAAAGCATTGGACGCTGGACGCTGGACTTCGGGAATGGCCTCCTGTACGCTTTTTCCATGGGTCGAACTGGTCCTGCTCCACTGATGCTCTGTCCGTAGCATGCTTTCTTGGCAATGACTTCTTCATCATATTGACAGGGTCGGTGGCTCGTCTGAATTGGCAACTCCGGCAGAAGAAAGAGCTGGATAAAGTTTTGGAGATACGCCATGTCTATGTTCGTCTTGGACAACCTTCCGGCATAATAGCAACAACAACAACAACAACAAAGGTTTATGGCGCAGCTGCGGGCCAAGGTCTTTCCAGATTGTGTCTTGTAGTGCCCTCTTTTAGTATGTATCAATAATTTGGGAGACCTCCAAGTTCGACCTCCTAGAAGAAGAAAGCTAGACCAGTCTACCATAGTCTACCCGTTGGCTAGGAGGTGCCTATATTAAAATGCACAGCCGCTTGGCTGGCACCGTGGACGCAAACATCCTAGTAAAATAGATGGACTAAGTGTGGTTGCTGGCGATTCCAGTGTGAACTGGACATCCTTGTCACCACAGAATGGTTGTGATTGTGAATCCACATCCATAGGCCCATAGGATTTCGAACATGTGCTGATGTTGTTTTCGAACATGTGCTGATGTTGTTTTGGCCCTTCTAGACTTGTCAGTTCGTGTGGTGGGGTGGCCCCCCGTGTCCTCACAAACACGGAGAGGTTTGGAAAGCAAAGCTTGCCACCAAGTTCTCCAAACCATGGCTGCAAAGCACCAACTGGAAGTTTCTTGCACCGGGCGCAAGCTGGCAAACATCCGAAACACGCAGTGGTTGCCACTCTCTGCCCTTGAGTTCGACTCAGAAAAGCCGGTGGTGGACAGCCTCAATGTCATGGAATACCGGGTGGGTGTGTCCCCAGCAATTCGTTGGACCTAACCAGACCAGGGCACATCTGCGAAGAGTGAGGGTGATGCACTGCAGCGGATGTATCGCCTGTATCGCATGTTAAGGATGCTCTCACGCTGATGCTCTCAAAGCTTCTAGTCATTGGAGCTTGTCACTCCCAGCTAGATTTCTAGCTGGTGCATGGCCCGACGCGAAGCAACTAGTATAAGATCAACCGCTAAACAAGCAGGCCGTCTAAGCACCGAGCCGCACGGGTATCAAACCCTATTGAACATGCTGTTGACTGCTCAACTTGAATCGTTCTTTTTGATCTACTACTGCTCATCTGTGCTAAGTGAAGGGTAGTACAGAAAAGAAAGTCAACACATATTCCCCTTGACTGAACCATTAACCTCTCTCCACCGGTGGATAGAGGAGCAAATCCTCAAAAAGTTAAAGGTTTCCACGGGCGGGCAACTTTACTTCGACTGCATATGGTCTGCTTGATTGGTGGGTCAGAGCACACCCTGAGACAAAAGGACTGTTAAATATGTGTGTGGCCATCGTTCTGAATCACAAGCGGGGTTCTCCATCAAGAGCTATCAAGAGTCCACATGTATCCTCCTCGCGTATCCTCCCAAGAGGCCACATTTTGTGAGGATGTATATACATATATTTATATATGTGCATGTGTGTGGTGTAATATATATTTATATATATACATACAAGTGACACTGGGGTCACTAGAGTGGTGACTGCTGGGTATCACTGACGATGCACGAAGATGTAGAACGTGTCCATGTGGGCTGCTAGGTGCACGAAGTGGAACCCCGTTCGTGTCCATCAAAACAAAAGGCATCGTGCATGGTGGTGGCAACACGACCTTGCGAAAAAAAAATAGAAATAATATACTTGCCCGGACGGTCGTTAGCTAAGCTGGGCTAAGTCTAAGTTGAAGTTATAAGTACTTATAACTTATAAGTACTTAGCTTCGACTTAGCTTGGACTTAGTTCAGTGGACTTAACATTGGCTTAGCTTGGACTTAGCTTTGAGTTAGCTTTGACTTAGCTTAGAGTTATATAGCTTGGACTTAGCTTTGACTTATAATATCATATATTTGTTAAATACAAGTTACGTTTTTCAAGCAAAGAAGCTGCAGCAACAACTACTATCTAAAATATATTACATATTTTATCTAATTCTGGATGTTTACAAAACTGCATCATAAATATTACGACAGATTGTTTCTGACAAGTACCTTGTATTTTCACATTTGTCATTAAAATTACGACAAATTATCTTTGACATTTACTTTCTCTTTTGAATGTTGTCATACAAATAACGACAGATTATCTCCCACACTTACTTTCTATACTAAAACCTGTCATAAAAATTACGACAGAATCTGTCTGACATTTACTTTTGTTATTGAAAGTTGTCATAAAAATTATGACAGTCTTTCTGGCAATTACTTTCTCTACTGAAAGCTGTCATAAACATTTTTGACAACGTCTTTCTGACATTTACTTTCTTTACTAGAAGCTGACATTTGCAATTACTTTCTGGCAACAACTCCGAGCCCAATAATTGAGCTTGTTGATTACAAAAATACAAACAACACAAACAAAAGAAAATCAGCGCGGCCAAGCCGGCATGTAAACAGATATCGTGAGAAAAGCGAGCACAGCAAAGCCCCATGTGTTGAGCAATGTATTTTCTTAAAAGACACATACTCAAGTATTTTTGTTTTCAAGCTTGGACCTAGCTTGGACTTAGGTCGGATGGTCGGACTTAGTTTGGACTTAGCTTTGACTTAGCTAAGTCACACCTAAGTGTTTATAAGTCCTATAGGCGTAGCTAAGTGAAAGCTAATTCGAAGCTAAACCTTACACAGGTTAGCAAACTTATAACAAAGCTTATAAGTATGTGAGGGGTAGTTATAACTTAGGTTGTAAGTGAAAGCTAACCACCCTCCGGGCAAGTATGAATCCATGTTCTTTGACTCTGGCCGGATCGTGAAGCGCAGAATGCTCCGAAACCGGACAATACAAACCGAACTGCGTTGTCCTGTCCTGCTTGAACTGTGTCCTCCTCCGCTCCCATTTCAAGTGCTCAGGATCACACCGGAAGCCCTTCTTCAAGCTGAGGAGGGGAGCACTCTTGGCCAAGCAATCCGCCAGGATATTCCTGAGGCGGACACGTATGACACCACCAAGACCAAACAAACTCACAAACCTCACAACTGACCTCACAATGCTTCATCCCTCAGTACGCTTTAAAATATGTGGGTGTCTTTCCGGCAGGCTGTGTCTGTTCTTGACATCGCCCCCCCCCAAGCCCGACCAAATTAGGCAGGAACAATGAACAATGTTCGCTACTAGGGGCTCCTGGCATCGCTACTAGGAGCAAGGACGCTTACTAGGGGCTCCTGGCCGTACTACTAGGAGCAAAGAAGCTACTAGGAGCTTGGTTGGATGGTTGTACGATCATGTCGGTGAACTTGAAAACACCAGCCGAGACTTCGCAGTGACGACTGCGAGCACCTGGGAAACGATGCTTGGTCGAATCAAAGAGTGAGCCGTGGTTTCACTTTCTGGAGATGCTGGTGATTTGTGCCAAATGAGCAAGAAGAACATTGACGGGCCGGAGGCCCTATAGGAGGCCCGCTTTGCGGGCCAAGCTAAGCCTGCTCCAACCTTTATGTTGAGTTCGACCGTGTAGTTTCAGCCTGAACACCGATCGAGTTGCTCACTTCAGCCTGAACACCGACGGTGCGGGATCCGTTGCATCACGCTGAATGATACCTCCATTCGTTTTCACCAAGTGGTCCGTCCCATTGCTACACCACCATCACTCCATCAACCCCGAAAGTATCACAAGCTCTTGCTGCTGGCCATCCCAGAATCATGGAAGTTGCATGTGGCCCACTACAGGTGTTCCACGTCCAACATGGTTGGACGGAGGGTATCTCATTGTGTGAAACAAGCATCCAATGTAGCACTCTCAGCCTGCGGCCAGCGGGCGCAGCAGCGCACGCTGCATGCAGCCACTGACGTGGAAGCTGTGGCATCAAACCCAGATCGATCGCTTGTGATCCATAGCCTTTTGGAAGTCCCCGGGTTCTGATGGTTTTAGAAGATTTAAAATGACCAAGATGACCAAGTAAGCAAAAAGGTGTTCTAGGTTCGGCCGCCTTGGCCATGTCTGATATCATTGCTCCTACACAACTCTATATATATGTACCACGAGAGGACTTGTGAAATATGTTGGTGCTTGGCACCCCTAATGTCAGCACCCCCATGAAACAACAGTCTGAATCTCTCTGTTTGGAAAACACCACATGATTTCTGCAGCCGGTGAGGAGAAACAGCAGCGAGATTGTTTCAATGAAGCTCAGCCTGCCACCTTGCATCTGAAGTTGAGGCCGCGGGGCTGTTGCTGGTCTTGCATGTTGAAAGACAAATAAGTATAATTATACATCTAAGGTAGTTTTGCGTTGACATCTTTCTGATATCTCCTGAAACCTGGCAGAGCTTTATGGAAAATATACGGGCAAAGGATGTTGGCCTCTCTGCCTCCCTGCAAAAAACAGAAGTCACATGCCGTTGTGCGCCCCGAAAATAACGACTGCATGGGCTCCAAATACAGGCCTACAGCATCCTGCAGTCAAGAGACATACCAAAAGTTGTTGATCGTGCAGAAGTACCTGCCTGCAGCACGCAAATCGGGCAATATACCTGAGGATTGAGCCTCACCTAAGTCCTAGGCGGTCCCGCCCGCTTGCTCAAAAAGAAATGGCCTGCATGACCTAGAAGCCAATGGATTTGATGTGGCTCATGTATAATGGGCTCATCGGCTCATCATGCTCACCTTGATCGTCACGAGGAAGGGTCGAGCTTTCAGGACCTTAGGCTACTAAGTACTATAAACTTCTGTACTTGGAAACACGTGTCGAGAACCAACACTGCAATTTCTCTCACGCGGCCTTTATATCATTAACCCCACCGTCACCTCACCGCCCGTCACCTCACCTGGTTTCCCCCACTCCACGCGCGGGAGAGAGTTGCCTCCCGTGCAAGAGCTGCTGGCACTTTGGCTGGATACCCGTCTCCTTGGCAATGGCCTCTTTCAGCCGCCTAGAGTGCGAGCGCTTTGTCCATGGCCACGACGCAACTGCCCGGCAGAAAGTGCAGGTATAGCAGTTACAATTAGTTACAATCGGATGCTGCAAGGTCCTGAACAAATGGTTGTTGCATGCTTTACAAAGTGGGTCCAATCACGAATGTGGCACAAACCTCTTTGGCTAAAGCAAGTTTCTTCCTTGCTCCCCCACATACCTGAATAAAGGATGTTCAGAGAGCTCATGTTGTATTGCAAAAGGTCTGTCAAGGCGATTCTCCACCAAAATCACTTTTAGTGGAAGTGGAAGTGAGGGTCCTGAAAGAATGCTCTATTCCCATCCAACTGCAGGCTTCCGGGAAAAAAGAAAGCGGCCACCATGGGCGAGCTGAATCGAATTGAGGTTTTCTGCAGCAAACTGTTTCGCGTGAGGCTTCCTCGGTTTCATCATCTAACTGGCTGGTACTCAACCCTTTGGATCTACTTGCTTGCCTGGCCGTCTCCAAAACATAGCCGCAGCCGCTACCATAGCCATTCCCTAATCCACGCTTGTCCCTTAAACCCAGTCAATGAAGATTTGAAACCACACTTCGGAAGCTTCCGGGCAACTAGACTATTCTCTACTCTCTTTTTCCTTTGGGAACGCGCCTCAAGGGCCAATCTTTTTGCACCTGGACTTCACAAAGGTGTCCACTGAGGCCATTGACCACCAAGGTGACTTCCAGTCCCCGACTTCCATGCGGAGTCCTGATTTCGATGCAGGACACAGCCACAGCTGGCTTACTATAGGGAACTCTCTTAGGACTCTTAGGCAGCCCAGCTTCGTAGAAAACCACGGTGGCTGCCACAGTACTGTATGCTACTGTCTGAGTCGAGAATCAGTCAGCGCATTGCGGGTAGGTTCTCCAATGCTCTTGGGGATCCCCGAGGTCGGAATGACCAACTTTATGAAGGGGACACGAGGAATCGAGAAACCCTTGGAAACCCCTTGTTGTTCATGTGATCCCATGAGAAACATCAGCGGTGGTTCTGTATAGTTGTGAAATGTAGTGAAGATCTGGACAAGACAATAGCAATCACAAAAATAAACCTTCCGCTTGTGAGTCGTGGGCAAGCGTCGAGCTCGAGATTTCACTCTGACTCGCATCAGCTGTCATGATGGCCGGTTTTGCCGCCGCAGGCCGTGGCTGGTGGCCATCATTGGGACAGGTGGTGAAATAGATAAAGCATCAATCATCAACCCAAACACTCCATGTATGCAATATTTGCCTACATTGGGGTGGTTTCAGGGGTCAATGTAGGCATATATGCCATACATGGAGTGTCTGGGCAATAGTCTCACAATGGAACACTTGAGGGATACCCCGATACCCCCTAAATACACTTCCCCAAGTCTTAGTCTTAGTGGCCACCACATATTGCACCACATCTTTCAGACCCGGTGTGTCAAGGCTTCGAAGATGCTTCAAACTCTTTATTCTTGAGCCGTTTAGGTGGCACTCCTATTTACAGTAGGTGCGTGGTGTGTGGATCTCGAGTTGGTGGGACACTTGGCCCCTGACCCCCCAATTGAGAAGCAACGTCTAAATAAATAAATATAAATAAATAAATATATATATATACATCTCTAGCCACTTCATTGCGAGTCAAGACAGCTGCGGCACACCACACCACATACAGCAGTACCGTAGCGCCCAAAAAGACCGTCCGTCTGACTGTTGATGTAAGGCTGAACTGTTGAGAGGAGCACTTTCTAAGTCAGTCTGTGCACGGATGCGGTCAGTGTGCAAGAACACGAACATGGAACACATGCCCGGCCTCGTCGTAGGAAACACATATACTGAGGACCAATGACTTAGGACTTGTTGGTACCAATGACATTGGTAGTTGCCGGGGCGGTTTTCCCAAGTCATAATAACAGGTCAACACCCTGATCATCACCCTGATCATTGACCGTTCACTGTGGAAACCACTTCACCACTCCAGGAATTGGCTTTCTTCCGAGGGAGAGTTCAGCTCCAATCAAACTTGGACCCTAGAAACCCTCCACACACACACCTCGCGCACTTTCCACGCAATGGTAGACAAGCAAGGCCAAGCCAGCTTGCAGGTACAACTCTGCAAAGCTGGCAGGCGACCAAACTCCAACAATTCAGGCACTTGGGCCAAACAAGGGGTTGCAAAAGCAGCTTGACCACCTCTTTTCAGCTGCCTGCACTTCTCTCACATGTGCCCGCAACAAGGCAAGGAGGGGAGGAGGGTTAGTGAGCTGCTGCACTTGGGCAACAGGCTGGCCAACCCGACAAATACAATATGAAACCTCATGTGTGCCCCAATGCTGCCCCAACATCATGTGAAGGAACATATGACCAAACTCCAACCATGCCCCAAACCTTGGCTGGGGTCGCCGAGGGGTCTCTCTTTCTTCAATCTTGTCATCTTGTCAAATATTCCAACAGAGGTTGAAGAACCCAAACTAGGCTATCCCAGTTCGGTACCCCAAGTGACGGGTCCTAGTTCAGGTCACCACTGACCTCTCCTGGTATTCATGCTGCGGCACGTCCTTTCTTCTCCATGGACCGCTGCTCTTTGGAAAACAGCGCTCGTCCGCACGTCACCCGGCGGAAGGCGCCCTGGAAGAGGCGAGAGCCGCAAAGGACGGTCCTTCTGGGGACGATACACGTTCTTAGCATCTATTGAAGCATGATCTTAGTATTTAAATAGCATGATCTACTATGATTCTTAGTATCTAAGTATGATCCAACTATGGGATCCCCATCAGCCGGGACTAGATGTAAACTGATTTCGGTGAGGTGGAACCGCATGATCATGTACAGTAAAGCAAGATGGGCATCTACTGGGGGCTCTGCCGACCCCACAAGAACTGAGGACTCTTCAACAAGTCCGAGTCCGGCTTGTGGGTTACAGCACACCCTCACTGTCTGACATAATTAGAGCCTGAAAACAAACGTTTCGGGAAGTGCATGTTCCCCTACAAGACCAGTGGTTTCAGGTTCTAGATGTTCGTCTGCAAGGGTGTATTACTACGATAGGTCACGAACCTGACATCAGCCGCTTTTTCAATCTCCGTCGGCCGCGCAAAACTTTTTGGTCTGCACGTCATTATTCATTCTTCCGAGCTTGGTTTGGTTGCTATGACAACGACAGCCTTAGCTGGAAAAGCGCAGCGCTGTTGTGACCCTGCAAGCCTTGGGGGTTGTGACCCTCAAAGCCTTCACCGGTCCAGCACTCAGGGTGAATCACTGAACTGACCTCCTGCAGATCGGAGAACTCCTGTAGGGCACGGAGCTGTGCCAAAACGTTCCTCAAAGGGTGGACGTGCTGGTTGTTCTGGAAGCTCACCCAACATTGCATCATGCTGCATCAAGCCGTCCCTGGAAACCTGCTGCCTTCGTGGAAGGCAAACAACCGCTGCACGGGTGCTGTTGTAAACGACCACAACTCCTGAAGCCGCTGAGGACTGGTGACACCTTCTCCGAGTGGTGGACATCCCCCAAAGATGGTGCTAAACAGCTTCAGGATGAGAAAACAAAAACATCTGAGACCGCTTCCGATACCATTCGGCTGATCTGGGAGTGTTTGGAATCCGCCCTAGTCCAACTCAATGTATTTACAGAAAACATCTAAGACAGTACTATGTATACAGGGACGGGTATGGATGGATCAATCTAGGCCTAGGCCTCACCCTGATAGCATCCATAGCATTGTCAGCTATATTGGGATTCATATCCATCAGTCACGCCAGCAACTGCTAGTAGTCTTTTGATTCTTTTTCTGTTGTTGTTTTTTTCCAAGGCTTGCTGACACTCATAGCGCTCACGTGTCTAAAGACCTTGTTTGTGAGTAATTATAGATATTTATATATTTCCGAAACAAACAAACACTTAGAGACTTAGAGGTCCGTCTTGCCGCGCCTGCCTGTCAGATGAACTCCACAAGCGCTCTTTCAGGTACCCAAGCTTGCCAGTTGTCCCAATAACCCGCGACGTCGCCGCCGCAGCCGTCGGCTCAGGTCAGCCCAGGGCAGCGCGACGTCTTGGGCAATGAAGAGCTCTTGGAGGAAGCCCTGGCAGGACTCATCGACTTCAACCTTCATTCTACAGTGTCTACAGGATTGTCAAAGTAGTCGATGTTATATGATGTTGAATTGCCGTTCTATGTTGTTACTGTGTTTTCCTTCGGTGTGCTGCAGTAGGTGCCAGTCCTGTTTTTACTCTCACCGGGACCTAAACGAAAACACTGTGGGAGGCTTGTGCCCTAATCTTGCCCTGAAACAAAGTATATATATATAAGCGCCAGAGCCCCAGAATTATCACCTTCACTTTAATGTTGAAGGAACTTGGAGCTGGACCCCTCAACATCGGCCAAACAATGGTCGTTGTTGCTTCTCAACTTGGACACAAACAGGTGTCAATCGCAACTATCATCACCAATCCATCGGAGTCCAGCATACGGCATAAATACATCGAACGCCGTGCGCAGTGCCTTCTGCTGTCTCAGCTCTCAAGTTGACATGGGCGGTCTCTGCCCACCTTGAGTTCATAATCCTCCATCTCCAGGCTTCGAAGCACTCTCTGGATGTTGCTCCAAGCCTGCCCCGAAGGTGTCCCGAGAGTGTTGGGTCCTCTCAAGAGTGGTTCGGACCACAAAAGTAACGTCGTGCTCTGCTTGCAAACGATGACGGCTTCTTGGCTCCATTGAGTCGAGTAACACGAATGAATTCTTGGCTCCATGTGGTGACCAGGTGCTGGAGATTCCACCTTGAACCTGTCAAAGTACCAAACAAAATGGCCCTTTGGATCCTGATGAGTGGAGATGAGGCAGCCCAAGGAGGCAAGGTTGCGTCCAAGGCATTCCAACACCAGTGTTTCAATATGTTTCAACCGGTTTTCTTGGTTGGGGTGCTCAGAGTATCACTGTTGATATTGTAGGGGATTCCGGGAGGTTTCTAACGGTTCTGACGTCTGCTTTGCTCCGAACCCCACGCGTGCAAAGCAAGACATAAATACAACCATCCACTTCCGCTGTGGACCTTTCACACCAACCAGAAATTACCTGACCCACCACGCATTAAAGCACTCACACCAGAAAACATTGCGGATCGATACATCATTAATCATTACGGTTTGAAGTATGAGGGAACCACTATCATGAGTCAGGTTTCCATCTGGGGTCTATGGATGCATCCTCGCCCGGGTCGGTTTGGTACCTTCTGTCGCTTGTGCACTGGGGGGCCTTGCGGGCACGTACCCTGCCTATCACTCAACATCACTCAACCAACCAGGAACAAGACTGTAAAGGGCCATCTGCGGATCCCATGGTCGCCGCCGAAACGGCGGTCCCGCCGGCCCCTCCGCGCCTCCAGGAGTTGCGATTGACTTGTCGCGGCGTCCCCTGCCAAGGCGCTCATGGTCGTGACGGACAGGAACTCCAAGGAGCTGTTCGCAGCAGTGGGGAACAACACCTGCGCTGGTGGGGGCCGGTTGCATGATGGTTACCAAAAAACGAAACACATGTCCGGCACACACGCGAAGTTCTACGAGGTTGGATTTTGGTGCCGTGCAAATATATCAGAAAGGGACGCTGTCAGGTCCCACGCTTTCCACGTTTCTCATACACTGAAATATGAACATGCATTGTATTTTATCTATATCCGCCGACCCCGGCTGAAGGAGGGGGAGCGCGCGAGGGATTACAGGTGCGGGAACCTTGCGCTTCTTCGTCTCAGCACGAACCTGCAGGCAACAGACGCTTCCACTGCTCGATGCTGCTCGAACACATGCATCACTGGAGCCGCAACCTATTGCGCTTCTTCGTCGCAGCACGAACCTGCAGGCAACAGACGCGGCCACTGCTCCATGCTGCTCGAACACATGCATCAGTGGAACCGCAAGCTACAGCAACATACGAACCCCTCTGGCGGTGGCTCACAATGTCGCGGTCGTGCTCCCTGAGGCCCTCACCGAGCCGGAAGCAGGGGTGGGCACCGAAAGTGTGACCATGGGAGGCTGGAGGGTCGTTTTGGAGCAGACTTAGATTGGAAAAAGCTGTGGCAGGACCAGGTCTCCGGGGCCAAGAGGACCGAGACAAATAGAAACAAACTTTTTTTTTCTAGGGATTCAGAGGCAGCGTTTGGGACCCAATGTGCGACCATGGGCGGCTCGTTTTGGAGCAGAATTAGATTGGGAAAAGCTGTGGCGGGACCAGGTGTTCGGGGCCAAGATGACCGAGACAAATGGAAAGAAACTTCTTTTTTTCAGAGGCAGCGTTTGGCACCCAAAGTGCGACCATGGGAGGCTTGTTTTGGATCAGAATTAGATTGGGAAAAGCTGTGGCGGGACCAGGTGTTCGGGGCCAAGATGACCGAGACAAATGGAAACAAATGGCTCTAGCTTTAGGGCGCCCAAACAACGTGCTCTAGCTTTACATAGCTCCAGCAACAGATACCTTCTGCCGAAACTTCCACCGCCGGCTTGCCCGGGAACTGCTTGTACACGTGTTCGCCACAACACGTCTGCTTGCACAAAAGTTGCACCCAAATGTCAAGTGGCTCTGTGCTATCTTTCCTCATGCTGCCATTTCACCTCCCACACACATGTCCTACATGTGTTATCTTGGCATGTGTTTGTGGCACTGTTCTGACTATTTTGCAACGTGACTGCTGCTGAGGTGAATGAAGCATCAGACACCACACAACGACCAAGCGACCGAGCTTTGGTGCCTGGTTAAATCCAAGTTCAGCACTTGGGGGTTGTGAAACTTCGCGTGACAAGAGAACATTGAGATTACAATATTTCGACCCGCCGGCAGTGCCACCTTAGAAGTGGTTCGGCAATGTGTTTGGATTGCAGTTGCGTCACCTCTTGGACATTTAACCCGTGGGTGGTGCCCTGAGCACGCTAGTCTTTGGCCGAAACACCTAACTAGACGAATTGCACCCACTGGTGCATGTTGACAGACACTTTAGCAAGACCCCAGCTATGTCTCATGAACTCTTCTTTCTCCGCTGGAGACTATCGCACCAGACTGCTGTCGCTCTCGCTCTCTCTCTCTCTCTCTATCTCACTCTCTCTCTCTCTCTCTCTTTCTCCATGTTTCCGATGCTGACACGACAGACCTTCACCACCAGTCCCTTGACATCCCAGTCATTGGAGATCACAAGAAGTTGACCATGCCAAACTTCCGTGTTACGGACCTTCGACAACCAGCAAGCTCCAGCTCGACAACTGACTGTGTGAAAAAAACACAAAACCTCACACGACCAACAATGTCGAGTCCAGCCGCCCCCAAACCGCGAGACCCAACCATCCACACATCCCCCGGTTAGACATAGCCATGCTGAAAGTAGATAGACGTGCTGGAAACGCTACTCCTTTCGGGAAGGTCACCCCAAACTTGCCCAAAGACAAAAACCGGAGATTATGCAATTCCAGACCTGGACGCTTGCATCGCTCGATCGGAAGTACATAATCTCACCCCCCAGCCTCTAGAATCCCCCTTTTTGCAACGTCTCACCTTTTTCTTCACTCCCCTTGACCTCTTCGCTCCACGACCCGTTCCCTCCGGCCTGACCCTCCAGAAGGCTGGCGTGCAGTGCTAGTGACGTGTTGCCAACCAATGGAGGAAAAGCCGGACCTGAGAATCGGGGTCGGCGGCAGGGGCGGCAGCCCTTAAATATAGAAACAGTTCCACAGAATCAGAAGTATCAGTTTCAAGTGCCATGGTATCCAAATAGTAATGTTAGCAATAGATTTTTGGATGATCCCAAACCAAAAAACAATCAGCAAAGTATACGAGAGTACACGTTTTCAACAACGGTTAAAAGCGCAGGGTCGATAAAAAAAACACACACTGACTTCCATAAAGTGTAAAAGTTAGGAGCCTTTGGCAAAGGCCAGGCGGAGGGTCGACCGAAAAAAAGATCGGTCGACCCCCCTCCCAGGAAACTCGAACAAATGCAGGAGAGTTGGAGTATGACTTACCCTGTATTCATGATCATACATGAATATACACTTATATATACATGGGCGGGCGCAGATTTGGGGGCCCCGTGACAAATGTTCCACGACCTAAAGAACTTAAAGTTGCAAGTGACGTTAAAGTGGAACCATTTGAGTATTCAGAATTATATGTACTGTAACATAAATTGATCAACGCTATTTCATTGGATTGAGCGCTTATTAGAAAATACCACATTGTTTGTTGAGCAATTGTTTTTTCGACACGTCACGTGATGCCAAACAACTAAAACATACTAAAGCCAGTTCAGGAGCTGATAAATAGGTATATCAAAGAGCTTCTTTTGCAGCAACATTTATGTATAGAACCTAAACTGAAGCATGCTGGTATTTCAGTATATTGTGTTAAGATTGATGCTTTCACCATCATTGCTGAAGATGAAAAGAACCCAAGGGAGTGGATTTTATCAATAAGACTGGAGGCTGGAGAGTGAACAAGTATGCGGATGTTAAATTACCTGTAATTAACTTTACCAAGTTGTAGAAAAGTTAACTTGTAGAAATACCACATCTTAAAATAGAGAGATTCAAAAAGATGAGTATGATACTGATGATATTGTTAGTAAAACTGAGAAAGTGAACCAGGTAATGATTAGGAGATTATTCGCAGGAGCAAGCAAAAGTCATATTCTGCCAGAAAATGGTTGATACAGGCTACACAATATTACTTGTATGCCCTACCAATAGGATATTGGGCGAATTTGAAGGTGATACCATAACAATAAACTGATGTGAAAATGGAAACGTTTGATTTTTCAGAACTTGATGTCGTAGCAATTGACCAAACCTATTTCATCGGTTTGTGTGATTGTTAGAAAAAACATGTAGCGAAGTATCTTTTGCAATACGCGATGCCAAACATCTAAACTAGAACTGGTTCATGAGCTGACAAATGCCAAAGATTATGGAACAATATGCTGTCGCAATGATTGACAATATGTTTGAGCAGAAATTAGTATATAAGAGACCGAGAACAGAAAAGGATGAACAAAAGCTGAACAATATCAAGAACTATTTACTTGTACATACCCACAACTAAACTGATTAAAAATACTCTAGATATACTGATGATATTACGTCGTCAACATACAACATAGCATTTGTGAAAAGACCTGTAAAGATACATATGTCTGAGCAAAAAGACCAAAAAACACGTATTCTGGGGGACCTGGTGGCGCCCGAACTCTCAAATGTATATTTAGATACAAATAAATATATATATACAATTATATATATATATGATATATGTGTGATATGTGTGTGTGCGACCCCTCGTGCCCAATGACGAACTTCAACCTGGCACTTGTTGAAGGACAAAGTTTCTGTTGAAACCTTGAGAATGAACGATGTTTTACTTGTTGCAACTTGAGCATAAATGAGCCGTTTTATCCATCTTTCCTTGTTGAAAGTCTTGGAATGTCTTGGATGTCCTCCGTTGCAGGGTCTTCAATCGAATTCGGCTTCGCCATCACGGATCGTTCCCTGCGACCTGATCGTTTCGACGATACCGCGCGGGACTGTTTAGAAGGGAAATGCATGGTGAAATTTTGGGTTTTCTCCGGCTTTCCTTGGATCAAACCGTCGCTCAGGCACTTCTTTGCCTCAAACCATGAAGGACGCACGTGGACTTGGTGGGCTCAAGGGTGATTCAGGCTGATCAAACAAAGTCAACCGACTCATCCATTCGCAAGCTGTGTTGTGCCCAAGTTGCATGCCACTTCGGAATGGCAGGAAATGGAGCGCGATTGGGCCTGCAAGAGGGGTTTGTTCGGCCTATAGGCAACTCAATATACTCCGGGCTGCGTCATCTGCTCGTCGCGCTTGCCTCTCCTTTGCACTCTTTGTCACTTCTGCCTTCTTGGCTTCCCCTGCTCTCTTCAGGTCTTCTTCCATCTGCGCTTCGTACACTTGCTTCTCCTCCTCTGCCTTCTTTGCCTCCTCTGTTCTCTGCAGGTCTTGTTTCATCTGCTCTTCACGCGCTTTCTTCTCCCTTTGCCTTCTTTGCCTCTTCTGCTTTCCTCTACTCTTCTGTCTTCTGCTCTTCGCACGCTTTCTCCTCATCCTTTCTGCTCTTCGCACGCTTTCTCCTCATCCTCTGATATACGTGTAAATAACTATTTACAGTACTTTTAAATACCCACAACTAAACTGATTAAAAATACTCTAGATATACTGATGATATTACGTCGTCAACATACAACATAGCATAATTGAAAAGACCTGTAAAGATATATATGCCTTAGCAAAAAGACCAAAAAAACACGTATTCTGGGGGACCTGGTGGCGTCCCAACTCTCAAATGTATATTAAATATATATATATATATGTATGATACAGTTATATATCTATGATATATGTGTGATATGTGTGTGCGACCCCTCGTTCCCAATGACGAACTTCAACCTGGCACTTGTTGAAGGACAGAGTTTCTGTTGAAACCTTGAAAATGAAAGATGTTTTACTTGTTGCAACTTGAGCATAAATGAGCCGCTTTATCAATCTTTCTTTGTTGAAAGTCTTGGAATGTCTTGGATGTCCTCCGTTGCAGGGTCTTCAATCGAAGTCGGCTTCGCCATCACGGATCGTTCCCTGCGACCTGATCGTTTCGACGATACCGCGCGGGACTTTTTAGAAGGGAAATACATGGTGAAGTTTCGGTTATTACCTGGCTTTCTCCTTGGATCAACCCGTCGCTCAGGCACTTCTTTGCCTCAAGCCATGAAGGACGCACATGATGCACATGGACTTGGTGGGCTCAAGGGTGATTCAGGATATTCAGGCTGATCAAACAAAGTCAACCGACTCATCCATTCGCAAGCTGTGTTGTGCCCAAGTTGCATGCCACTTCGGAATGGCAGGAAATGGAGCGCGATTGGGCCTGCAAGAGGGGTTTGTTCGGCCTATAGGCAACTCAATATACTCCGGGCTGCGTCATCTGCTCTTCGCACTTACCTCTCCTTTGCACTCTTTGTCACTTCTGCCTTCTTGGCTTCCCCTGCTCTCTTCAGGTCTTCTTCCATCTACGCTTCGTGCACTTGCTTCTCCTCCTCTGCCTTCTTTGCCTCCTCTGTTCTCTGCAGGTCTTGTTTCATCTGCTCTTCACGCGCTTTCTTCACCTTTTGCCTTCTTTGCCTCTTCTGCTTTCCTCTACTCTTCTGTCTTCTGCTCTTCGCACGCTTTCTCCTCATCCTCTGCCTTCTTTACCTCGTCGGCTTTCTTCACGTGTTCTTTCATTTGCTCCTCAACTCCTTTCTTGTTCCCTGCCTTGTTTGCCTTTCCCCCCTTTGCTTCCCTACTTAGAGGGCAGGGTCGTTATAACTAGCATACTGATACTCGTATACACATTTTTTGTTTTAAATAAAGATGAACATGTGCTAAAATGTGTAAGTGTGCTAAGTCTTCTAAGTCTGCTAAGTCCGACCTAAGTAGAACCAGTGTTTTTCCACCAAAAAGATATATTAGATGAAAATACATCGTTATCACCTGCAGCAACGTTGAAATCCTGAAAGTTTATATAAAAAAGAAACTCTAACCCAATAACCATGCATGCATGTAGGGATGATGTACGTCAATCACCAGCTTCTTCGATCCCCATGCATTATCAAAAGTACAAGCTTGGAGTGCGGGGTACGTTTCACCTCCATCATACGCAGCATAGTCATGAGCACAAGCTGTTGCTGGAGGCAGTGATTCACGGGGCACCACGTCACCACATGTACCCCAGATCATGATTTCACTGCGATCCCTGAGATTAAGACGTCTCCGGCATCGCCGGCATGTGCTTGAGCCATGGAAATGACATTATCAGGGGCTGTAGTGAACAGAAGCTCTTGGGCAAAAGATGATGTTTTGTAAAGTAAAACATAGTCGGGAATCAAAGACGCAGTTAAACTCCACACTTGAAGATAAGGGTTTACATACACAAATAGCTAAAAACATATAAAACACAACTATATGCAATTGTTATATACATGTTGGTGCCTTGGCTTGAGCTTTGTGTGGCAAACATTGGCTAAACCGTGCGATGGTGTTTCCATGCGCCACGTTTCCCCGCCTCGGCCAAACGCTGCCGCGCGAGCGTGAGCGCCGGCCACGGCGCGTCCGCAGCGTTTGGATGGTCGTCTTCGCGGAGCTTCAGCAACTCCTCATGCTGACACTCCATGTATGGCACTGTTTGTTACTATATTGAATTGTAGGCAAAATATGCCATACATGGATGGTCTGGGTCATGTGGCGATGCCACGTTGACTTCAAAAAGGAGTCACCAGGAGGCGCGTTTGGAAGCAGGCTTGCGACATGCGGACATCTTTTCGCCCGGGTGGTCAGTTAAGAAGAGCCGCCTGTTTTGGGGGAAGCACCCCTGAGTGGTTTATAACACACAAATACACACAGTCCGGGATGTTCAGTAGGGTGACGTGCCATCAGCAAAGCAAACGGCTTCAGTACGGTTATATAATAATCTTGAATAATCCAACACATCCTGAGTAAGTCTGATGGTCATTCCTTTTTTCCCTGTGCAGCGGACCAAACATGCACAATCGTAAAAGTGTTGACTGCCTGACGGGCCTGGCTGACTTGGGATCTGTATCAAACATATTCAACCATTCTGATCCTCCTGTAGCAAACAAAACAACAAAAGCAACAAACGAGAAAGCAGTACTGAAGTCTCCCTCCGCCTGACGGTGTAGTATAATGAGGCGGTAAAGGCTTAAGCATCAAGAAGCTGGCAAGTGCCACCTTACAAGGAGCCTGGCCCTGTGAATAGCAAACCAAAAACCTGCATATGGACCATATGGATTGCAAAGCATAGTGCCAAAGTCGATGGTGCCTATCAAAAGCAAACCTGTCTAAGGGACGGGTTCTCTGTCCCACTTGCACACGCAAGCAATATTATACAATGTTACAAGTCCAAAGACCCAGTAAATCCTGGTCTTTTACCTCCTTAGATCTGCTTCAGTAATTATTGTTTTTGTAGCGGTAGATATATACTAGGCTTTATCCAGTGCGATCATTTGACGATGGGCGGTAGGGCCGCGTGCTTTGCGCATGTAGCAAACCAGTCTTTGCTATCTTTGCTGGTGATTGATCAAATCAACCGAGGGTTCAACATATGTCCAAAATCCAAATTATACTGTTTACCGTTCACATACAATACTACAAACATTCCGCGGAATTTCTGGATGTAGACACAAGTAGCCAGTGCTATTGGTCTTGGAGTATCTCAGCTTCAAGCCCAAAAACGATCGCAGCCATCGACGGGTCAGTTACGTCTTTTGTGGGTCCCGTAAAGGTAGCTACAATATAAAAGTGCCAACGCACACAGAACATAGAAAGCACTCACCCTATGGATCCACATACCTTCTCGGAAGGTATGTGGGCTCTCCAAGCCTACATAAATAGTCTCCAATCACCTTCTCAGAAGGTAGGTGGATCCATAGGGCCAGATGTGCGTACATCCTGGTACCCGGTCCTGCTCGAATTTCTCGCCCACAATCTGGGAGGCACACTCGAAACCATAGAGCAAAAGCCCATGGATCTGCGAAAGCTCGACACCTTCATTGGTCTCACCCGAGAGTAGATGCAGCACAGCCAGAACGCTTCCCCGGGAATGGCCACAAGCACCTTGAAGCGTGCGCTGCCGCGATGTCCGCGTGCACTTCAAAGATCTTCTAAGAAGGGCACAAACCAAATCGGCACATGGTGTCTGTGAAGAACATCCGCGGACGAAGCCAAACACCCAACACGAACACCAACACATTTGGACTGTTTCATGAACAAAAACTCCAACCAAACAAACATACCAACACCGTCCACCTGAGCGAGACACCACAACGGTCCACCTGAGCGAGACACGGAAGGTAACCCTGAAGTCAAGGGTGCAGCGTGCGATAGGGCGCGGCACACGTGCGGCCGTATCAAGAATCCAAGATCACCAACACATGCTGCTCCACTTCATCACAAAAAACCAAAAGAACCTCAAAAAAAACATGAAGATTCATGAAGTATCTTAAATTGTGGTCGGTGCCAATGTTGATCTTTCCAGCCTCCGATCCGAATCCACCCAAACCCGCGCCCAAACATAACGAACACCTGCAACTCGTCTCACTGGTCCAACCAAATGACCACCGACCTGCTGCTGGCGAAGTTGCACGGATGCTGCACGAGGACCTTCCGAAGCTGCCGGCCACAGTCTGCCAAGAGCTTCAAGGGATCCGCTGCATCCTGGGGATCAGGGGGTGCTGAGCTTGAACCTGGCGGCCACATATATCCTATGATTCATCCCTGAGGGGTACAAATACATAGGTGCTTCCTTTCTTGGTTCTAGGTTGTTGGCTATGTCTTGACATGTCTTAAGATGTCTTAAGTATCTGCAACCGACGGAAACCTTACCAACCCCCCGCTACAAAAGCAAACATCAACAGGATCCGGTGACTGCTCGTTGAGCGTTACGTTTAATCATCCTGCGAAGGAGGAATTCCTAGGTTTCACAACGAGTAACCACTGAAAGAATTTGCCCAAACACGTGCCAAATAGGAGGTCTTCCTGCAAAGAGTCAGTTTAAGACTTGTCAAGTCATTATATTTATGGCTTCTTATTTTTGCAGGTACGTTTCGTTGCTGCCAGAACATCTAGTCTACCCTCATCCCCTCTGTTTAGTCAACACGAGTTTATAGTTATATAGACTTAACGACGCTCTCTCAGTGACTTCAGCCAACCACCACCACCGCTCAATCCTGCAGAATCTGCGGCCCGGCCCACTGGTTGAACTCCGCGCGCCGTTCCTGGACGCCACGCGGCCCGGGTGGTTTGATGGTGGTGTTCTGCGTGTTTCAGGGTGTTTCTTCATTCAGGCCCATGCAGAAGAAGGATTTGGACAAGGCAATTCAACGATATGGTAACCATATTCAATCACGAAAAAACAGGATGACCAACTTCAAAAACGGGTTCGAACCTACTATCTACGCATACTATATAAATGCTTCCTATATTGTGCTGTCACCGAGACCATCCCCAACGGATTTGGACAGAATCGGCCAAAAAGTTGCGGAGAGAGTCTGTCCGGAGGATGATGCTCCGGTAGGCATCCATAAATTGCCGGCTGTTGGTGGCGATGGTCACATACTTTTGCACGAACTCCGGGTGGAAGGGAACCTGGTGAAGAAGACAAAACAAGGTCACGCAAAGGAACCGGTGGCGAATAAAAGCATATACATTATTATATACTTGTATAAAAATTTTTTGCCAGCTAACCAGGGTTCCAGTTTACAACCAGGGTTCCAAAAAATCTTTGCATACGGAACTAACTTGTTAGGTTGTTGATGGTTGTTGCTTGCTGAATATCGAGCCTCAAAGTGCCTCAAAGCCATTTCGGATCAGCTTTGTCTCCACTACACATGTCCTTTGTGCCTTTGTGAACGTGGATCAGCTGAGCTAGTCTGTGTCTTACTTGGTGTGTGTGGGTGTGAAGCAAGCAAACTTCCTTGTTGTGATGTTGCTCACAACTGTTGTGTCCACACTGTTGCGCGCGCTAAGACCAGAAGTGGAGCAAGTGACCAATTCGATGAAGAAGGTGAACAAGGGATCAATCCTAAAGAAGGATGCAACCCGATACCCTCAGTTTGGCCGCTTTGTTCAGGGACAGTGCTCTCGATGGAAGCCGCTTGGATTTCCACAGGTTGCACGAGCCAAGCTCCGGCTGGAAGTTGTGACTTGTCATGCACTGCTTGTAGTTGGAACTCGTTTGCAGCACTTAACTAACTTGCAGGACCCAACACGTTACAGCACTGTAACAACTACTGTAACAGCACAACGCATGTTGAAGCACTCACATAACGTTACAGCAGTGCAACAACACAACAAGCACTGTAACTAAGTTGTTTGACCTTGTTGGCCCTAGGTGTGACACCTTGGTGAAACAACACGCCCAATTGGCCTAGGTTCCTCCGCGAAAGCCAAAGTCTCAAGGCAATGTGGAGCACCAGTGCGGAAAGTTTGTCTTGCAGACCATGGGTTGCTTGAGTAGGGTGCTTAGGGTGCAGATTGTATACAGTATACCATGTAGACTGAACTTCTAGCGCTTACTTTGTTGACATGATGTTACGATGTTGTAAGTATTGCTCACCGGTTTTAATCATGCAGGGTGCTTTTCATCGACTTACACGGCAACCACGCAATACATCATCCGGGGAAAGCAGGACTTGGTTGTATACGTTCAGCATTAAATGCTTGTAAGCAGCACTTGGTTAAGTTAGCATCAATTTTGTTTTGCACAGGATCTGGCTACGCAACTGTACCATTCAACCTCGTACACACAGGCATTGGCATGCCAAATGGAACAGCTCCAGAAAGGCAAGTATCTATCCATTGAAATGGCGGAGCACTTATCAGGCCACCAATGTTGTTCACATGCTGCGACACTCACTCCACTACAGGGCTCAAGGTCAAATCGTTTTAAGTATCGTGAGGGCTCCCTCGTGGATGGACTTCTCCTTTCACTACGGTGACTCATCAAGATGTACTGCGTGCGTGCCCTTGGAAGGGCGCCCCAGTCATGTACTTAGTTGCCTGTGAAACATACTTTTGAAGGCAGTCTTGTTTGCATAAGGTTGCGCAGCACAAGTGCATTTCAATGTTTTCTGGCGTTGGTGGCCTTGACTTGGGCCTGTCTGCGTAGAGATCTTAGAGGTTGAGGTTGAAACAGGTGTGCGCTTGTCTGTAGAGCATTACTTTTTACTATGTGTATTGTTAGCTGCTCTGTAGTCAAGGTTCTGTGAGCCCTTGTGCTTCGAATCGCCCTTAGATGAGACTCTGCGTCATGTTACCACACACTGTCCAGGTTCTATGTTGTTTGGTCGCTGTTGACGACCTTCACTGCTTCGAACTGCAGGTCGAAAACAACCCACACTGCAGAGAAGTTTTGGGCCAAAGAATTGCAGATGGTTCTCTACCCAACGTGCCCGTGTACACAGATGTGTGGACTTTCCGTCCGACCGTCGACATGAGGGCCACCTGCACTGGCCTGATTGCTGGTTTTCCATGCCAGGATTCTTAACTGGTACAACTACATGCTGACACCATTATCTTGTCAAGCACCAACTTGCTACATCTTGCCACAACACCACGTTCACCAATGTTGTTTCTCTAAGGATGTTTGCGGAGCAGTTTTGATGCAAGGCCTTTCAGGGGCGCGTTCATCTCTAGGAGAAGTCTTTGAGCAGGTAGAGGGGCTACCCTACTTGTGACTTGCATGCGCTGGGACCAACTACATTCACGGATGTTCTTGTTTTGATTGATTGAGTATTGAGGCGATGGATCTTCCTGGAGAGTGTATTTAGTCTTCTCAGGGCAGACATGGTTCCTTTCATGACCTACATTCTAGAGGATCGATCGTCTTGTTTCCCAACTGTCAGTGAAACATAGTGCAGCCACGCAACACGCACGTCGTGTCTTGCACTTGTCCAGCAGGAGCTGGAACGTCGTGGTTTTCAAGTCAAATGGTGCTGCGTTTCGGGTCGCGACATTGGTGCTCCGGTCCAATACTCAACCAACTTCTTTGCTCATTTCACAACGTTGTTCTGTTTCTTGCGTTGTCTTCTTGATTATGTGTGGGTATGGTTTGCCAATGTTTGCCAGACATGGCGGAAGCGGGTCTTTTTCTTGGCGACAAGGGGTGGTTTCAACTTTGTCAAGGCTTGTACTTGTGAGACAGTTTACCCATTTGGCTTTTAGATTGGTTGTGTCAAGTTATGTCCGCTATTCTTGCCTGTGGGCACTACCGCCAGGATCCGAACAACTTGCTCAGTGAGAAGGAAATCCGCTCGTATCCTGCAAAGCCGTGGCAGCCAAGAACCATTCCAGCCACTCACAAGTGGATCCAAGATGCTTTGACTTCTAGGGAGCGGGAGCAGTTGACGTCTATGGACAACATAGTTGTTCCTGAAATTGCCAATTTTGCGGCCAATTTGCTGTGTCGAGCTTGAAACCTTTGCTTGATACCGTTGAACAGGGGTGTTTGTTGACAAGTTAGATGCTTGTTAAATGCAAATTGGTTGAAATTCGTTGAATAGAACACTAATTACACTAAATTAGCAGTTGTCGGGATCTGCTGCAAAGCAGACCCAATGGCTGATGTTGGCGTAGGACTTCTCCGCCGGTGCCTCAAAAGAGCAAAGGCTCATTGCGCAACATGCAAAAACCATGCAACATTGCTAAAACCGTTTGACAACATGTGCATTGCAAACTAGCATTGAACGTGCTTGGACACTATGCTTGCCGTCACTCAAACTTTGCACCTACTTGCTTGGCGACATGTTGGAAGTTCTTGCAAACCACACAAGGACTCACAGCCATGACTTGTCATGTTTGATGAATGTTTCAACACAAGTGCTCAAACAGTGTCCTTCTATCAACGCGTGTTTTCATAGAATGGGTAGCGTTGTTGATGCTGGAACCTGAGCAACCATCAACATGTTGTTACATGATGTTGTTACCAGGTTTGTTTACAGTTACATCGTATAGTCCCCGCGCCTGAGGTCGAAGCTGGAGATCTCTACGAAGACACACCCGTTTGTGCCTCAGCCAAGCACCATTGTTGAACAAGATTGGATTTGACATGTGTGAGGGTTATATTCCGAGCATGTGCATGACACATCAGTGGTAGAGTTCCGCATGCTACAATCATCCAACAGTGTGCTGTCTGCATCTAGCAATTTTGGTGGACCAAGCCTGAATGCCCTAGCAGGGTTCACGTCGGTGATCATGTCGCTGGAGGTTCGCGAGTTGAAGGAGCTGGTGTTGGTTCGGGAAGTACAACTCAGAAGAATTCCAGTATGCTGAATGGAAATTGAATGATGCCGGAAAGCGCTTGAAGGTTGCGCAAGATCATGAGGCAGCCACAGCGGAGAGGACAAAGGCTGAGGCCACAGCGGCGGCAACAGCTAAAGCTGCTAGTCCTACTCCTGATGTCAACTCAGAGCCTCAAGCTGGTGAGCAAAGCCATTCACACCGGCCTGAACAGCAGCATGACAACGCAAAGCCGTGTGAACAGGAGCCGCATGGCCATGCAAAGCAGCCTGAACAGGAGCAGTGTGATCATGCAGACCATCCTAAAGAGGCAGCTCCGGATGACACGAAGCCTGGCAAGACAAAATCCGAGGATGAAGAGATGCAACCACCTACGTCATCACAGAAGCATCATGGCAAGCATGCTCACAACCAGCGTGACAAGCACGGCGACAAGAGTGAACCCAGCTCCTCCGAAGAGGATCCGGCGCCGGCGGGCAGCTCTGGTGTGTATACTTGGAGCGTCCGGCCGGAGCCGGAGAAGCCAGACTATGGAAAGCTCTTTGACAAGTTCATAACAGGCCCTGCATCAAGAAGCACAACAAGTGAGTCAGGATCACAGGCGTCTCATGGGCCGAATAAAGCACCGAAGTTCACTGCTTAGACTTTGGTGAATGCTGCCAAGCGTGCTGATGCTAGGCAGGTATGCATGGCAGATACCCCGGACAGCCATGGTCTACTTCCTCCACCACCACCTCCACCCCCAGAGCAGGTGCAAACTATGTGACCGTGTGATTGCGGCAAGCCATGCACTAGGATTGAGAGGATGCTTCGCCAACAGCAATCTTGCGCATATGCAAGGATGCGCTTGAAGCACAACAACCACACTTGCGATGACTGTCAACAATCGTGGTATGCTGACACTCGGGGGCCTCGTCATCACTACTGATTTGGTGGTGATGCCACAGGTGTGTACAATACAGAGCACATGTGGTGGCCATACGGCTCATTGTTTACAATCATCAAACATGCAGTGACACCCTTTAACTTTCATGTAAATGGTTCCAGTCTCCACATTGTGCCTTGTAAACAAACATTGCCAACATTGCTGCTTTCAAGCAAACCACCCATGCCTGAGTTTGTCCAGTGTGCACATGCTAGCCTTTTTGTGTACAACATAATCACCCAGCCCTGGTGCTCAGGATTCCTTCGAAGCTGCCGCCGTCCCAGCACGTTGTCCTGACGCAGGCAGGTTGGTTTGGAGGGTTGATGCTTGCTGCACAGGATCCCCACCCATACACTCATTGACCGCCCACCCAAACTCACATAATGTGGTTTACAAACGTTGTTGGAAAACGTTTCTTCTTATT